CCCCCCCCCCCCCCGTCCGACCGACCGACCGCCCCCAACAGAGGCGGTGGCGGCGCCAACATGGTCCAAGCGCGCGACTGGATATAGGCCAGGCACATTCCGCTTGGATGGTCGCGTTAGTCTCCAGATCCACTGCTCTTGCCGCCCGGTGGACGGAAAGCCAGCGTTTAAGGCTCAAGACGGGGGCGGCTGGGCGCCGCCAACCGAAGCTGTCTTTCGGGATCATGCCAATGCTCCTGCCCCTGGGCTCAGGATCTCGGCGCAGGACAGCTCCCCTATCTCGGTAGTCATACACGACCAGAGACCGACTGGTGGAATGCCCCCCCGCTCGCTCGCTCGCTCGCTCGATACCCAGTCGCGGCAGGTGGCAGTGTGCCCCGGAGCCTCGCAGCGATGGCATTTCTGCAGCGGGAGGGGGCCATATCCCGGGGCAGGCAAGCGGTGTGGGCGGTTCTCTTGGGCTTTCGCGGCTTTCGGGGGACACCAGAACGCCAGACGGGACCCGTGATCAGAGCGCATTTCGGAATGGCTCTGAAAGAGTGGAACGCCCCCATGTCACAACGCACTCGGCTCCATCGGGGGGCGCCGCCACGCCGCACTTTAGTCAAGGGGTCCCCGCTGGCGTGCCCGGCTCCTCGCCTGGGTGGGGGGTGTTTACACCTGCATGTATTTTTTTTTTATAGTGAAGAGACCCAAGAAAACAGCCACCCACATGTGCATGTGTGCGTGTGTGCACAGCACGGCACATATCACAACAAACGCTCGCGCACTATCGGAAAAGGAAGGGAGGGAGAGAGAGAGAGAGGAGGAAAGACGGCAGACAAGGAATTCACCGGCTGCGACTACGGCTGGTGGATCGCCTGTCTGTCCCACGACCGAAGGGACTGCGACTGCGGCTTCGGCTACGGCTGTAGTTGCGCTGCCTATGCCGGTCGCCAGGGCGATGGGGACTACGACTGCGCTCGCGCCGATCATATCGATCGGGCCGATTGTCGTCCCTGCTCCCCCGAGCATTCCAGCCAGGGGGGTCACGACTGCGACTGCGACTGCGGCTTCGGTCGCGCCGACTGCGGCCACGATCCCAGCTACGGCTGCGGCTTCGGTCGCGCCGACTCCGGCCGCGGTCCCGGCTCCGGCTGCGACTGCGGTCGCGTCGACTCCGGCCACGGTCCCGGCTGCGGCTGCGGCTGCGGCTACGACTCCGGCCGCGGTCGCCAGACTGCCGATCGTCCCGGGGAAGCGGCTTGAACAGGCGCGAGCGGCCGGATCCCGAGCGCTCCGAATTTCGGTCATCAGAGCCCGGGCGCCGGGCTGGTGGCGAGGCATCCCGTCGTCTGTCGACGTCGTCGCCCTGGGCAAGAGCGCCAGCTCCGGTGGCAGAGGCCCGCTCAGCCTCCTCCTCCTCCTCGCCGTAAAGAGGATAGTCCCGAGGGCGAAGGGTGCCGGCGGCCTCGAGCACGTGGCGCTGCACCAGGGTGGGCATTGGAACGCCCAAGACATGGGTCTCCGTGAGCAGCTCATCCACGAAGGAGTCCAGGAAGCTGAGGTAAAACTCGCCTTGATGCAGAGGCGGAGGGGGGGGGGGGGGGGGGAAAAAGAGGAGGGGGCAGGGAATGGCCTGGCCATGGAAGAGAAGACACTGGCTTGTGCATGAGGCGCACCCTCCTGGTTCCGCATGCGTAGCTTGCGCAAGTCGATCAGCAGCGGCTCCAGATAGTTGTAGATGTCGGCCGAGGGGGCAATCAGGCGGAAGACAAAGGCCTTCGCGGTGTGGGAGCAAGGGAGCAAGGGCACAGGGAAGGAAAGGGGGGTATGTGAGGATGGGCATGTCATGATGGGAGGAGAGCCGAGGAGATGGGCAAGGGAGGAGGGAGGGACCGGCAACAGGGCGTACCCCCAAGGCACGAAGGTACTTGAAGTGCGTCTGGTCGATGAATGCGATGAGGGTCTCGCGATTGGGTGACCGGAGCAGCTTCAGTGCGAGGCAGATAAAGGGAGTGGCGGTATTGGTGTGGCCATAGGTCCCACCAATGTGTGTGATCTCGGCGGCCTATGGCGAGGGTCGAATGGAGGAGGCTGGGTCAGGATAGGTCCACAGGCGCGAGGGTGGGAAGAGGGAGAGGAAAGGAAAGAAAGGAGGATAGGCGCACCCGATCAACAACATCGGCATCGTTCAGGCCGAAACAGCGTTCCTTCCAATAGAGAGAGTTGAAGATGCGCTCGCGCATAATCTTGGGAATGAGGTTCATCGGATTGGTGCCATGGTAGCTCTTTTGGGAGAGGTCCATGCGATCGGCACGGATGTACACCATGATCTACTTTCTGAGGGGTCGACCGAAGTCGTCAGTGGCTGACCGCGGGGGCGAGGGCCAAGGCTCGAGGGAGGGAGGGAGGGAGGGAGGGACACAGGGAGGTTGTGGAGGAAGGAGGGAAGGGCAGGCGCGCGAAGGCGCACAAGCGACAAAGAGCAGCAGCGGAAGGAGAGGGGAAGATAGATATGGAGAGAGGGGGGAGGCAAGAAGGAAAGGGACCAAAGAGGGGGAGGGGCAATGCCTTGGGGTGGTGAAGACACCAGGCAGAGGGAGCAGGCTACGAGAAAAAGCCGCAATTGTGAGTCTGTGCGCCTGTACGCCTGTGTGTGCGTGCGTGTGTATTGGGATTGACCACCCCGCGCGCTGACCTGCCCCCCCCAGGGCGTGGGCAGCCCATTGCGAGAAGGAGCCGGGAACGGAGCCACCCCGCTGCGGAGCCGCGGAGCTCCCCGCGAGTCACATGCTAAAGGTATCACGCCGAGATGTCCCAATCATTAAATACCACACGGGACAGTTTACATTTGAATATTCATTTAAGCCCAATGGTGTTCAAGGCGCTGATCGGGGTAACCGGGACCATTCCATGCCCCGTTTTCACGACTATTTCGATGGTGTGCACGCAAAAGGGGGGATCGAATGCGCCACCGTACCCGGGGGGGGGGGGGGGGGGGG